GTGGCGGAGCTAGGGGGGGGGGGGGAATAGAAATCGCCTTTGGTCTCAGAGGCACCTGATTAGTTTCTGACATTTTTTTGTAGGGTTTGGGGTTGGGGGTTGGAGGTTGTAGGGGGTATGGGGTTGTTAATTAATGTAACGTCCTTAGTATTAGTCAGAGACGTACTATCATTAAGAATCTTCTGATCCCGGTAACAACGTGAAAATCAAATGATAAAAATCCGAAGTGTATTGTGCTCGTCATTTGAAATAACTTGGCAATCCGCGTTGCCTGCACGGCGCGATGCTGCATCGTCGTGGAGGCCACTGCCGTCTCTGCAGTAGGTAACATACCCCAACTGGTCTGCGGTGGTGTTGTTACTGACACACCGCTAGAGGATAAATATTTATATATTTTAGTAATATTGCACATTAGGAGTACGTTACACTCTAGCGTTCTGCGATGCTTTTGTAAATGATGACTTTTCATATCTACACATACTATTTCTGAATTTTATGATCCTTAAAAGTACCACCCATTCGGCCTAACCTTTAATTTGTGTTTATAATGGTTCTCTGAGTATTTGGTCAAAAAGGTTGACTCAGTAATTATGACGCATTGATATACAGCGGACAAGGACTCACAAACCGACATAAATGAGAAACACGAACATGTGTGATGCAGATACCTTTCAGCAACAAAAAACCGAAGTTCAAGTATTATCGCGACTGTAATACTTCCATTGCATCGTTTAGGTACTCGTAGATGAAGGAAAATTGGTTTAGGTGTGGCGGAAATAAACTCGCTGGATCATAGTGTTACAACGTTTTAGAGACTCCTGCTCATTTTCAAACATTGTTTGGAGAGGATGAAATTTGTAAGTTGGAAGCTGTATGCGGTAAACGGTTGTAAATTGTTGCATACTTGGTGTCAGTGAAAGACCTTCTATTATTAAGAAGTTGGTGATCTCAGTGATTCTATTCACCTTTCTGACGTAATAAGTCACACATAATCCTCTACCTCTGCTACGGAAACGGAAATATGATAGATTCGCTTTATGTAGTTTGATATGCAGAGGTCCGAGGCCATCGTACCTAAGTGAATCTATTTAATAACGATTTGATTTTGCCCTTTGAACTGTTTTGTCCCATCCCTTTTCTTAGAAACCTTTAACGAAGGCGTGGGAAGTATAGAATCGATCTACTTAAGGCATTTTTTATTATCTGTTCTTAAATCCCATTTTTGGGTGAACGCTGATAAATCGCAAAAGTAAGAAATCTCAAATATCGTCAATTTTCGTCCTTGCCCTTACAGTTGCAGTTTAGGTCTGCTATCATGTCCTGAAAAGAATAAGGTAAACTACCAGTAGGTAATCTCATAAACAAGAAAAGTGTTAAACGTGGTTTTTCATTTGTTCTCTATAGGTGCCTAAACCAATAAGAGAACTTTGGCGAGTTGCTAATTTGATGCCTCAGAATCATTACTTATATTTACAGCTTTCATATTCAATGCAGTATCAACGTTTTGCCACAGGTTTTATCGAATCATCCTGAATCGTAGAAGATCCTACGTCGAAAAGACGCAAAAAACGTTATACGTCTACAAGGAGCCCACGTTAAAAGCCCCATAAGACCTCGTACTATAACGTATTGTCGATTGCAACATTTTTGCATAAACGATCGCTCATAATTTATATCAGCGATAAGCTCAGGTGAAGACATCAATGAAGTAAGGTTAAGTGTAAGAATAGCCTGCACCCATAACTTATTGTTTGTATTATTATTAAATAGTGATTATCTTGGCAATAAGAAGCGGTAAGTAATAAGCAATGAATGCGACCTTCGCGGTATTAAAAGCTTCAATATATCACCCAGATAACAAATCTTAGCTCTCCACAAACACTACTGAACTGAAATGAGCAGGTAATAAAAATTGTTATATCAATTAAATGTTCAGTGAACTGTATAAACGTTCCATCGTAAAAGTAAGAATGTTAATTTATGTGAAACTTCATGGCAATACAGCGTTAATACCGGCCATTTTCACTGATGTCTGGGATTAGTGACACGTTGCATTTTACTGCTGGCACTATCCGCATAGAGGATATAGGTGACTTTTTGTGTTTTTGATGTTGAGCCGTGATCAGAAAGTTATTTCAGAAACATTATTATCTAGGTCGATTAATATCAAATAGTTGTGTTTGAGATCTAGCTTCGATGATAAACATCAGAAAAGTGATATGGTGAGATATATTATTATTCCTGCGCGTATCATTTGCCACTATGAGAAATTTCAACGTGCTCTGTCAAGTAGTTTCGCTATACGAATTTTTGAAGTGAACATCTTGCGCGGTTTTTGTCAAGACGGATGTACTTGAATATCGTGGGGCACTAAATTCTTTGTATTGGATGAATTAACGCCTAAGGAAATTCTTTCGGAGCTAACAAAAGCTTACGGGGACTTTGCGCCTACGATTACAACTGTTGGACATCATTAAAAAGGCCCAAGGTAGCATAATGGACAAATCATTTTGGAATTGAATATGCCATGTTTGACGAAATAGGATGGTGTCCATAGGTTTTGAATGCAATAAGTAGTGGGGATGAGTGAAGTTACGTCTTAGAAAATTGGTATAACATCCCGGGTCCCACCAACGGACTTCGATAAGTACTGACGACAAGACCGGACTAAAAATTGATACCTCGGATTGTTTCTCTTATTGAACTGCATCAACAGAACTGAAAAAAATCTGTAACCATTATTCCTGATATACTATTCAATTATCATGAAGCTAAAATTTGTGCAAAAATTGTTGGAATATTGTGTATTCATGCGGGTACAAGAAAATATACGGGAAAATATTAAACATGAATTTTTAATGCCTACTATTCTACTGATCATGATCTTGTCAAGAATTGCATTTGTTATGATTCTGTGTTATGATGAAAAAAAAAATACATGGTGTTACAGGTTATGTGCTAGACTAAAATAATCCTAATGAACATTGGTTTCGAATTTCAGATCTGACCTCCGACTACCTAGACATGCAGTTCGGTCGATCACCGGGAGGTGGAAGTACGACCGGTCTACATGGAAGTGGGGGTCAAAGGACGAAGCGAATGCGAACTTCCTTCAAGCACCACCAGCTGAGGACGATGAAGTCGTACTTCGCTATAAATCACAACCCTGATGCCAAGGACCTGAAACAACTTTCACAAAAGACTGGATTGCCTAAAAGGGTGCTGCAGGTAGGACTTTGAAAGCTTGGTTTGTACGTTTTTTTATGTAGCATTAATTGGTCAAAAGCTGAGACCAAGTTCGTTAGTTCTTGGACAATAATAATCAAGCTCAGTCTCCATGTGTTTATAGTACAGAACATGGAAGAAGTCCTTAAAATAGACTTAACTTATCTTTAGTTTGTGACTGTTTCCATCGTTCCTTGAAGACGTTTAGTGAAGCATAAGTCTCGTGGGTGCAGACTTTTTGGAATTGAGTTTGCTCAGTTTAGTGCAGCTTCTTTCATCAAAACTTAGTTTAAATGATATGAGATATTCAAACCATCGTCAACTGAATGAAATCTACTGAATTCTGATGGTGGGTCTTTAACTTTGCCTACAATTATTTTCATAACGCGCTCCATGCCAGCAAACTGCCAGAAGGTTTAGTCTTGATTGTAGCTCCATGATAGATGAAGATTTTTAGGCTATACTTTGCTGAAGGTTAGCTTGGATCTGTTGTTGATCTGAATATTGGTCTGCCATATTGACGTTCCTCCGGCCGCATAATCTCAGTAAAGCCTGCATAGATGTTCATCTTTAGAGTACGCTATGAGGTACTATTAATCATCAAGGTATTTGGCTAGAAAGCTAAATGGATATCAATACTTTCAGATCATTACAAATAAACACTTTTTACTGCATCAATTATGGATTTTTGAACCGAACATTATTGATAACCCACGTTTCTGGGAACATGCGATGACTTCCTAACATGAATTGGCGTATTGATCCAAAACACATATTCCAATGCAGAAGAGCATGATGGTTGAACTATCTACGGTGCATCAACATTTCGCTCTAGCTCACGACTATGAGAACTGATGCGTAGTGTATTAGTTCCCTAATCTATGCTGATTTTTGCTTTATAACTTAACAACCATATGCTTAACCATTGAAAGTTCCATATATCATTTCAGTTAACTTGAAGATGCGTTTTTCTTCACCATAAAATCTGGGTCTACAACGGTAAATAGTGTCCGAGGGATGGGAAGTTAGTTATTTCCTAAATATTTAACAAAATCTGATAAACCGCGTACATTTACACAAAGTAGAGATACATACGAAAACATGTGCTGATGTATGCACTTATATGTCTAAATGTTTATTATTACCTGCCGCACATGTTTGTAGCCCAGGTTTTTACCATCGCTTATACGTCAAAATAAAACAGTTATTAATCACTGCAAGAAAACTTAATGAGACATACATATTTTTCCCAGTCAGTAATCATCTTAGTGCAGGCATACTAGAACGAATCTCTAGAAAGAAGTCGTACTGTGCAACTATGTTTTAATACCGTCTTTAGAATGATATTGTATGAGGAACTGATTAGGACTCTACCTCTCATTTTGACCTTGACAAGCTTTATAAACCTATATAATCACTCATCTTCCTCATTGTATCAAGAATGCGGAACGATCTAGGAGGAGGAGTTTTTCTCTTCTACTACTAGTGGCGTTTATAGGAACTATTTTATACAGGGGTTTCTTAGAAAATGTAGATCTGTTGGAAATTACTCAAAAAAGGTGATCGATGTAAAATTATGTACCTTTGTGAAAATTAACTTCAAAAACGAGAGTGCCATAGTGAACACTTATTTTTCTTTTTCCATGATATCAAAATATACCGGAATCTGCGCTAGTGGTGTAGGATATCATGGTTGTGCCACATGGAGAAAAAACTGAGTTGATGCCTTTATCCACTCTGCAAAAATGTATTTTCTAGATTTCGGAAAAATAACTTCAACATGGTTTAGCGTGTTGTTTGCTTTCCGGTTTCTGTCTCCTAGGCCTATACTGTACTGTCAGTAGACCACATCCGATTTTGTCTTGCTTTTCGATGTCTGTGTCCAGCGCTAGACCGATACCTCTACCTATACCAAACAACGATGTATACGGTTCTCCATGCCCTCAAAGGCGGGAAATGTGATTTAGTTGATGACGTATATTTATTTCAGGGTCCATATTTATGAAGTCGTCATTAACAATATATCTTGAATCATCGTACGTACTTGGCACATCCGGCATCTGTTTGAAGTAGCTGAACATGGGGCCAATTCTTGGGCGCACTAGGACAGAACGCAGAAGTTCTAGCAACTGTTGACATTTGTCCAACAAGTTTGTGCATACTTTCATTTTCGTTCGATAGAATAATGTTTTACTTATTATTGAGCGTGTAATCACAAAGTGGATGGCGGCAAAACTCACTACCTACTTCTCTCGAGAATGACTTGGGGATTGACTCTTCTGCCAGTGTTTTGGAATAGTTATCCCTGAAAGCTAACAGAACCGCTTTCTTCCAGCGATTCTAATATCAAGAAACAAGTTCCTTGCACCAGGAAGAAGGTTTCAAGATATACTGTGAAAAGCGGACGGTGCAATCAGTTATGGAACATGCTCTTTCCACAATTATTGAAAGGTTTAAATATATGTCAGCGACTATCTGAAGATTCTGGAGCAGAATACCTGATAGCATTTAAGAGTGAACACACATAATCCAATGGCGTATATGAAGGTGCCACAGCCTACGAGGGCAAACAAATGTTCATTCGAATTGAGATACCCATACGCTCTAATTGTTTTTCATCTAACTCTAACAACTCAAAAATAAATATAGTTGCGATCGGGGAATGATAGCGTGTCGACTTTCGGTCAAACCTCGAATTTGAAAGTTCATAGGGAAACCATGTATGGATTTCAAAACCTACTCCTTATTCGACAAACAAAGCACTGCTCTATTTGTATCCTATATTTCATAAATATTTATTATTAAAAGAACATAATTTACTAAATTTTCTTTCCAGAGTTTCCTTTTTACTGTCACATAATAAAAATTGTTTTTATGGAAATCTTGCATTAGCTTGACTGCTCTTTCTGCCATAGCGCTTACTGCTCTTAGTATTTGCACCGTATTCTTAGCATGTTGAAAAGGATCATTATGTGGCCATGAAGTTGGACACTCGTCGGGAAAGCTGTCATCAATTTTGAGTCGACTGAACAAGGGCTTGCTTTTGGTTGAAACAAAGTCATCAATATCTTTCTCTGAAATGAAAAAACGAAGAATAGTAACAATCTAAACCAACTGGTTTTGTCCATCCGACCACAGACAGTCAACCATGGACAAACGTTTTCTGCTTTCAGGACAACGAAAGAAATCATAGCAACTAACGTCTATCTGAGGTATAAGATCTATCGAAACAAGGCAGTATAAGGTGCCATCTATTGCCAGAATTGCAGTTGATGCCGACTTATTTCAATAGTTGGCATATTATATCGAAGAAGTAAAGCAAGACAATGGAACATTCGTTCGTCAGACTTACAATAAAGTGGTCCAAAAAGTTCTCCTTTCAATGGGATGTAGCGTTTACCGTGGCCTGATGAACTTTCTTTGGCTAAATAAGTAACAGTACTCACTTTAGTTTCCTCATCTGCATCGTCGTCAAACAGAGATAAGGCAGAGACCTCATCTGTCAAATACCATAAATGTTAGCACAACTTTTGAAAATCTGCTTTTGAAGTGGTTTCGTCAATTTTTTCGAAAGGCTTTATTGCCTTTAAAAAGCGTAAATCCTGATTAGGTGCTTTAACCGCTAAAGTGAATTGCAACCACGATTTCACGTTGAACAGGCAGATATCTAATAGAGCTGCCTTATCGTTATTAAAAAGTTTGAGCTGGGAACTTGTAACGCTATTTTTAATTAATAGATTGCTCCGGCCATCCATCAAGCTTGATGCATGGCTTATGGCGGTCGAATCTTAAATGGAATAATTAAAGGAATATTATTGAAAATTCTATTAATTCGCGAAAGCTTTTCAGTCTCTGAAATATTCAGTATAAATATTTTCTGGAGATTCACACTTTTTCAGCTTTTGCGCAACTTTTCAAGCATTGGAAAGTCAGGGCTTGTAGTCACTCGGTCGATCTTTGATTCAAACACGTCTTCTAAAATCAATTCGTAGACGTGACGGCGGCAAGCAAAAATAAGCATTCCTTTATTAAGTTGCTGTTCGAGAAGCATGCGGCACCGTTAGTGCGACCCGGATTTGAAGCAGTAGTATCATAATGGATAATCTGAGCTTTTATCTCCAAGATTCCAGTCGACAATAGCATCTCAAACTGCCTCGGCCTGCTCGCTGCCTAAGGAGTTACCCAATTTGGGCACAGCGATAAGTTGCTCTTTATTTTCATAGGTTATAACAATAATAAATGAAGGATCAATTACAACTTACGCTTTATTAAACACTAACATGTACTTACGTCGCCCCTACTGGACTTGACTTAACAGTGGCAGTTGATTCAATGACATGACGCTGACATTATATTTGACATGGAGCATACAGCTATAACATATAACATTCGTATCCCCTTTAAAGAATAACACATATTAGGTATTACAATACAGGAATAGCCAAAGCTAATCCAAATATCTAACATGTCTTTTGATGAGGCGGTTTGATCCAGGTAAAAAACCTTGTGCCCTATCACTTGGACTTGATGGCAATGAAAAACATTGTCTTTCACTATCACAATCCAAATCCCTCTTGGGGCTCTGTGATTCAGCCTCAATAGACACACTAGACCCACTTTGACGACCTGCTGAACCCGTTGGAGCCGACTCTATACCTTGTGATTCTAAAACATATGGTTGATGATTATGTGAACGTGAACGTTAGGAACATGCAGACTTTCATGTCTTTTTCTTCCACATTACGTTCGAGCAGCTGATCCATCCTTCCATATACAAATTTACATCCGTATGGCTCAAAACCACCAATGATACCCATTTTTTAATGACTTGATTTAGGCACTCCTTGGCCTTCACTGACCTTCCCTTACTTCGACTGTAGGAATAGACTGGAAATTACTGTATTGGACAGCCTATAATTGTCACCGCATCCTCGTCGCCAAATATGTTGCGTATTACATGCAATAAATGGAAGATTAATCACAATTTAGGATTTTTTAACTAACCACTAACATGTGCTTACGTCGGCGTCGCACCTACCGGACATGACTTAACATTGACAGTTAATTCAATAACATGACACTGACATCATATTTTACAGGGAGCGTAGAGCTATAAGAATACAGCAGTTCTTATTGCGACTTGCTTGCATCTAAGGGTGGCAGTTTGTCTCGTCCAATGCCAAAACGAAGGATAATTGAAAGCCCAATGAAACAAATTAATGGTGTATTTATAATAAAATGTCTGCGACATACCTACATACATTTCATGATTTTTGGCGGATCACACTAAAACTTCCGGCATTTTTATACATACATCTCTGCACACATACATATGAAATTCGGTGCGCTGACGTTTGTGTAAGCTCAGACATGTGCTCTTTAGCTTCGTGTTGCCACCTCGAAAATTGTCTGGCCAGCGTTCACGTAAGAGTATTCATAATCTATGCTTGTCACTGTCAGTGTGACAAAACACATGACATATAGGTGTGCAAGAGCATCTGCGTTTAAGATCGATTTGCTCAGTGTGCAATTTTCCCATGGAGCTTCAGCTCCGCACGGGGTTCAGGTGATTTGCTTACTCATTTCGTATGGCATTGATGACATAACCGCAAAACTATATTCGTTCATGTAAAGTTAAGGTTCATATCTATTGCACTCTAAAAGTCTATTCTTGTTTTCCTTGTTCTGTTCATATACTTTCTGCGTCTGTTCACCATGAGCAGCGACAGATGCGAATTTCTTCGCACTACAAATTAAACTTCCTATTGCGTGATGTTTTTGGAGGTTATGATTTTTTAAATACCTTTTATACTCACTTGACACAATAATGTTCACCAGACAAATAAATTCAGGTGAACAATTATCGCAAATTGCTCTTTTCTACAAAAGTGTATCGGTTTGCTATTATGCCGTTGGTCGCTGAGGCGCACGCACATGAGCAGTAGACTCAAAATTTACCATACCGATTCTAATAGCGCAAGTTCAAAAACTGCTCTTCACATATGGGCCAGCGTTTGATCTTCGCCGCTGATATATTTTTGATGAATTGCAAAGAAGCAACGGTGGATTCGAGAGCACATCAGTACTCGTGTCATACTTCCACCGAGTGATATCAGAATTCTATCATAGGTATGCAGTAAAAAAAGGCCGATGCCATCTCCATATATTTATATTCGATGAAAAAGAAACGAAAAGGGATATACATAGATGCAGCGTGAATCCTATGAATATATCTACAGATCTGTGTGATGTGAGATGACATATTTGATTGTATCGAGATGGAACAAATACTGATAATTGTGTTGAAGAATGAAGGTTTTCACGGCTAATTCTAATTGTCTTAACACTTTATCAGGTTTACCCTCTCCAAATTTCCAATTTTATTCCGAATTATTATCGTTTATTCTCCAGATAACAAGTTTGGGTGTGCTATCTACATCAGGATTACTATGGTGATCTCATGGACATGTATAACATAGGATATCCATATACGATAGAAGTCCCGGAAATTCCGTACGTCCATCAGATATCCATTAGGTATCATACATGGACTAAGTTTACCATGGTGGATATAATAGGTGCCACGTACTGTCTGCATTGTTCTGTAAAAGGTCGTCAAACTAACAAAATATATGGAATTATCAACATTTGTGCTAAAAAATGATCCAAAATGCTTTCTCCTGTAAAATCGAAGAGGCAAAACGTATAGTGCCTGGACTATGGCACTTCTTTCCCAGCGAGTAACCACCTAGTACCATTATAAGTGCGATTTGTTGTCGTATTAACAAAACAATGTATAATGAGCAGAAAGACATGATCCTTCTGGAGCATGCATTATTTATGTTGTAGTTTTACATCCGAAATTTCCTAACAATTTAATATTTACATTGAAATGGGTTAAAGCGCGAAAGGAAAAACGAGAGAAAAAACGGTAAATGAATAACAGTACTCTATAAATAAATAACCCATCTGATAGCTAACTAGTATCGCAAAGCCGTATTTAATATAAATTTAAAATTCAAATTTTTGAGATACCGAACCGCGATAAAATGCTACTAATAGTATGTATAGTTCATACAGGGTGATGTGTATTCACAGATATGAAGCCTAGTTTGAAAAATTACAATATTACTACCTTAATTTCTATTAAACATGTAAATTATAGAACTTTGTGGGCTGGTCTTTATTTATATGCTGCTAAATATTGGCATCAGAACCTAACTTTCTATTTCATTAACTGCCTAATTGATGATATGAACTTAATCCGGAGAAACTCACGTTGTATAGAGCACTCGCACCGGGTTTCTACCAAAGAAACTAGCCTCAGTAGAATAGCGTTATACCTCTCTCCCATATTATATCCATAATTCTTGCTGTCTTGCTAAGGGAAATCCAATCCATCGCTTCCCTAAGAACCTTCTCCAGTTCCTCTTGCAGCAGCGAGCGGTCGGTAACCTGACTCATTTTTGCCGACCTGCTAACGGCACTTTCCTTTATAACTATTTCCAACACCAATTCTGTCATTCTTGTGAGTCTAGAAAGAATAAAATACAAAACGACTTATGTTTCTCAATTTGAAACTTATTCCAGTTGCAGTCATTAGCTCCCCCACCAGGGTCAGAGCACTAAAATTTAGAGTTTGTCTTTACATCTTTCTGTGCATAAAGAAAGTTGTCAGAGTTCTAGAAATCCATAAGGCGGAAAAAAGAGGCTGCTAGCTCCAATTCAGTCCTGCTGACCCGACACAAGAGCCGGCGACCTTTGTTCTTTGAGTATCTGCCAAATAAGCAGCTAAACCGGCCGAGACGTACCTCTGAAAATTTATAGCCATTATATAATTTTAAACCCAACATTTTAGCACATTCAACTATCTAAGATACAGCATAGTCTCAGCCCATTCGCTTAGAGTGAAACTAGGCGTTGTATTAAAATTACAGTAACTAAGGTTGTAGGTATAATTTTAGATAAAGTATGTGCAAAACGTAAGTTATAGCCGAGGCGAGAAAATTGTTTTTCTCTCGAAACCACTTTCACTTGAGTTAGGCAAATTATAAAAGCTAAGAAGAGGAATTTCAAAAATCTGTCTACTGTTTTGAATCGAATAACGGATTAACAGCAGCTTCTTGCGGTTAATATATTAATAGCTAATTGATTAACAAACTATAGACTTTCCAAAAATATCAACCTTGAACTGTTTTGAACTGTTATTACACAGGACGTAAAGAATCAGAAATATTACGTTAGAGCTATTTCTATCTTTTAAATTAAAGAAATCAATGTTTAGTACATGGACACCGTGATGTGGGGCTTATTGGGCTAACAACCAAATGAGTATAGTGTTGAAAAGTCAGTTGAGAAAAAATAATTTTCGTCATAGGGACCCAGAAGGAAGCTCCATAGGGACGTTCTTCACATGAACTATTGGTAATATCCATTTTTGCGTGATATGTGCCATTTTATTCTGGTACACCCTATATGCTTATCTATTAGCTCATGAAAGAATTTGAATGAGCCTCTGTAGTCTATACGTTGTCAACTTGAAAAGCACATATTTGATTTCATTGCTGGAACTCATGCTTCATTGCTATTTGTTTTTCTTGTTCTGAGTTGGTCTATTTTCTATTGGGCTGGTTTGTCGCGTAATGACTACGCAAGTGCTTTTTGGTGACCAAAATCTTTTAATTTCACTAGATAATATCCTATACAATAGACGCGATATACCTTTTTTAACATGTTTGACATTTGACCTACTTTCCAAGGGTGGGTCCACACAATTCTGAATACGGATTCCGAATTTGGAAACATAACCTTTGGAAGAACGAGAATAAGTAACTTCATGGTTCTCAAAACTATTTATACTAATACATGGTTATTTCGCAAACAGCCGTCTTAGTCCTGCAGTATTTATTCTGTACAGATTTATTCATTTGGTCCAACGCTCTTTGGTGAGACTTGATGAGCTTTAGTAAATGAAAGCTACCACACCGTAAAGCTTCTCACGCATTTGTATCAAAAATTTCCGTTTTAAACTTATAAAAAGTGACTTTTTTTAGACTCACCATCGCCCACACGTCAGCGTTCTTATATAAAGTGACCGCTCAATTGGATTGGAGTATAATCGGATCTACCAGCAACACGGGCTACAGTATGATTAATAGAACCACATAAAGATAAATCTGAAGCGTTATGAAGACGGTGACACCTCGATGAAAGCCATCGTTATCCTTAATGATTGATTGCTACACTCTTACACAATGTGTACTTATGTACGCAATGGAGGGCCCAATGAAAACCTGTACCCTTTGTTGCTGGTTGCTGACGGGATACAGCGGAGATCGCTTTTTGTATAAATTTTATTTGAAAGGACACATTCAAAACTTGACCGCTAGATTAATTCCTGTACGCAATTTAAGATTTTTGATAAATTAGAACGCTATAATAAGCTTCAAACTTATTCAATATCACAATACTTGCGTATTGTGATATTGAAAATCGGGACGTGCAAAGTCCCAGTGTCGCGAAAATTATTCGCACTTTTACCTTCCATCCCAGCGAGCGAATAAAGATTGTAATCGCAAAAAATTTCGACGAGATATTACTATCAGATATTATCTATTTTAGATGTTAGGTACACCACGGAAACTGTCTGCCTCTCCGCTCATCCTTGGCCCCTTTGTAACTTGGAAAACATCGCTCGATATTGTACCAGTATGGGTGAGCTAGATTTTGAAGAGTAAGATACATTGTTGTCAGCTTAGTTTTTGGAAGGGACACTCATTCACTCCAAGCAAATTTTATAAATTCATTGCCAATAAAACCCAAGAAAAATAGACACATTTTCCTAAACAGGTTGTATTTATGAAATGCTGACTGTATAATTAAGCATATAGCCCCTAATATCATAGATCAATCAAAAGGGGGTGATGGGGACGGTCATTTTCAATCAGAAAAACCAAATATATGGTGTGTCCTCATCCGATTGTGTACTCTCGGTTATCGCCATTTTTAACAATTTGCTGGTAAACGCTACTTTTGTGATAGGGCCATTGGAGAACAGCTATCATTGAAAAATTTTCCAGTTAGTGCAGGTATAGCAATCAACTGACCCGTAGTTTTACCAATTGTCAAAAATTAGGTAAGATTGTAGAAAAAAATAGTAAGCAGATAAACTGTACATGGTTGGAATTCCTTTTAAAGAGTCGCTTATCCCATATAGTTTCCGTACAAGATATGTAATGCGCTGCAGGTACCATTAATCTTGAAAATTCTCATTCTATGAGCTTATCCTATAACCGTCATTGTCAATCTTCAATCGTCAATCTTCAGATAGAGCCATCGAACCACTAAAGGGCAATAAATCCTTAAATTTAAATCAGGTCTAAAAATGTAAGGGGTAGCAATCATAATATTATTTTGGATTATGAGAGCTGCACCGTATTACCTAACTTGATAACGATAATCCATACTATAGAAGGGTGGCAGAGATAATTCCGCTTGTGTGATTCTATTATTGAAATTTTGATGCAAGGTTTATTCATCACAGCAATATGCAAAAATGTGTTTCCTTTATGGATCTCGTGCAACGGAAATGCTCCATTTTCTGGTGGAGCGTATCGAAACCGATATCCTAGTAGAGCAAATGGTACAGAGAAACGCCTGGGAGTTAAGAAGGAAAATAATGACGGAGAATCACCGTAAAAGCTGAAGAGCGAGTACCACAGTTAATCCAAGATGATGCTTATAACAGTATTGCACAGAACGTTAATGAGATTACGTTGGATATCGGATTGTAGTAGAAAGCTGCTGCGCTCGTTCCATGTTCAGATGTTATGGATAGACAAAGACAGTTTTCAAAACCGCTGGCTTATTTGTAAAATAGGTGCGGAAGCAGAACAAAATTGCCAACCATCAGTTAAGATTTTATTCTTAAGTTGGAATTCAAAATGTATCTAAAACAAATATATAATTATTGACTCCATAACGTCATACGAGTAGTAAGTGTACACTTATTTTTCTGCTTCATGCCTGTTCCCGTCCTCTCCATATTTTCATTTCCAAACTCCTCAACACCTGCAGTCAGTCTAGGACTCATTTTCTCTTTATCAATTTTCCCCGGTCTACTTTTCAAACCTGAAGCGGGATTAGTGGCGTTTACAGGTAAAGCGAACATGATATAAGAACCAGGGAAGGGGTCCGGTCTGCGTGACCGAAATAAAAAAATTGCTCATCGGATAAAATTTTAATCAAATATCTGAATTGATCCATTTCACGTAAAATAGGAAACGGGGGTCTAATAATAAAAGTGGCAGCACTGTGCAAAAAATATTTGCACTGTCAGAAGACATAAGGGCACTCTGCGTGGTAGTTTCCTAAGCTACTATCTACACTTTGCAATGATTGAGTTTCAAAGAATTCAGAGCCAATGAGAGCAGGGGTCCGCCTTAGAGGACTGTTCCAACTTAGGGCAATTTCCTCTACTTGTATGAATGCCTCGGAAGCACTGGGTCGATCAACTAACTTGATATAATTTTGCCTTGTTACTCTACTTCATCTTAAATTTCGAACGGACTCCAAATATTTTGATCATGGTTCATTTTTCCTTCGCTGATTTTAATTATAATATTTCTTCCAATCTCTCCAATGGATCCCGACGTTTAATCAGCCACTCACATGTTACGATAATTTACAGACTATCCACGAAATTAAGACAGGCGTAAATCAAAAAAACTTATCAGAGAAAATACAACATCAATGGAACATATACGGCAATTAAAACAAATTGAACATAACGTAATTAGAATTTAATTGTCATTTGTTACAGCAGCAGCAGCACTAAAACGTTTCATGAACAAATTGTAGTGTGGTGTAGCCGAAGGCGCAATAGATCGTGAATACATCGATGTAATTGGTAGAAACAACAATATTATCTGTCCAATTTACTTCACCGAGTAAACAGAAGCGACATTATTCAGGCACTGCTAGTCGGCCGGCCAATTTGAATAAATTATATCTAATTAATTAAGCTAAAAAGACAATTAGCTTAATAGTCCTTACAGTCGTCCGTTCAGTCGTTTTTTCGTTTAACACAGAGCCATATAATTAACACCTTTGAACAAGCATACAATTACATTTACACAAATTAAACAATTCGCGCTATCGAGCGCCGATCATTAAATTTGTGCTGGTAGCACACAACTTGGTGGAGAGAAAGGGAAGGCCAGCATCAAGGGAGATAGAGACAGAATACCAGTCTGCGCGGGTGTATGGATCATGGACGTTCAGCATGAGAGTCTAGCTTATCAGGAAGGAGGTGCAAATGTCGCATAGTAGATAAGTTGCATTAGTGATGCTGGTTGTGCGCTTCCCCACCAGTAAGCGAGTGAAGCATTGTGATTGCAAAAATCTTTATATGTCAGAGCAAGTAGGAATCTTGATTGCTCAAGACCTTTGAGTTGAATCCTATATACGATAGGGAACATAACAGGCGAGGGTAAGCTTTATAAAGATGAGACAGTTTCTGAGCAACTGAATTGT